CAACAACAACCACCACCACCATCATCACTACCTCCACAGCAACCACAGCCACAGCAACAGCACCTGCACCGGCACCAACTAACACAGCTCAAGTATCCTTCTGAAGAATTTCATCCTGTGATGGGGAGGGAAGAAATCCTCAGCCAACCCGCGTATCAAGTGGAAGGCGACCCGTCCGATGCTGCAGCCATCGCCGCCCTCTTCAGAAAGACGCTCAGGACTTAATTTGGCAGTGTGGCACTAGCATTATTTGGCCCAGTGCCCCTCGGATGCCCACCCTGGCCCCCTTGCCTGCAGGGATCTCAGCCTCGCGCCACCACTCTCCTACACTACTGGCCAATGACTGGATCACAACTGTAGTTCGCTTGATAAAAATACAAATATTTTGTAGATATTTTATAAAAATGTATTAGTATCCAAAGGATTGTTAGACGTGTGCGTGTGTAAGTGTGCATGTTTGTACTCGTTAGATTGTGTTGGGGTCGATACTAACTTTCATGTCCCACCTACAGTCGATGGCCGTTACTTGTTCCTGGCTACTCTTGAAATTGTGTTTTGAGTTTGCATCCATTTCCTCAACCAATTCATTCCACTTACCGCTCTGAGACTGAAGAAGTATTTCCTAATATCCATGTGACTCATCTGTGTTTTAGTTCCATCTACGTCCTTTTTGCCTTATTCCTGGCATTTCACTATGCCTCTTTCTGCCCTGTCGCAACATAACATTTTCCCTGGCTCCCCCTCTCCTTACGTTACATTTAGTTCTTTTGATGTCTCTGGTGGAACGGGAGATTCGAAGCATCAATGTGCAGCCGACAAATTTGCAGAAACTGCGTGATGTCAATATGGATCAGAATCTCTAACGAATGTTTCCAGTACTTTGTTGAATCTAAACCACGAAGAATTTAGGCTGCTATGGGGTCAAAGTAGCGCCCCGCCATACCCAGTACTAGAAGGGTGTAACAGATAAAGTGCCCACTGAGTGTATATTATGAATGTGTAATGGGAATTTATTATTATTATTATATATATATATATATATATATATATAAATAGATATATATATATATATATATATATATATATAAAATGTCATTCTTAAATTTTCTACTCTGCTTCCTATCTTACTTATTTCTAACTCTAGGTAAAACACAATTAGCAAAAAAAAAAAATTTTTAAATTTTATGTGCAGCATGAATAAGTATCGTAAGTAAAATAAGTTAATCTATATGACTTACAACAGACTTAAAGTTACATGCTTTTGTATAAAACAAACATGTTTTAAAGATGAAATTAATGTAGAAATTTCAAAACCAAGTTGAATAATTTATTTAGGAACACTATAAGAGGAATGGTATTTCAAGTAGTGTACTAGTGATGGTGCAGCAGTGAAAGTTAACTTCTACTTAGAATTTAAATGTGAAATAAATACCAATTTAAAGTAGAGTAATATAAAATAGAGGGTAACACTTCTTTATGCTCACATAACATAGACTTGTAGTTAACACATTGCAAATGACACTACTTAAAACAAGTGATTTACAAGCCTAATTAAATCTTTTAATAGGTAAAGTAAGCATTAAAGTTATATAAATTGGTCCTGCTTTTCATATTGAAAGCGCGCGCGCGCGTGCGTGGGGGGCACGCGCACGCGCGCTGTCACTGACATGACCCTTTATGTAGCCTTCAAGGTCTTTCTGGTTTGGCTTTCTGTTATCTTACGGGTTGTCTGGCTGTCCAGTTACCTTTGACATCCGTTTAAGAAAATTCTCTTGTCTGCATAGTCTCCTCTGTATTCTGGTTTCTTACTTATTTGTCTTTCTTTCCCTTTTCTGCAGTCACACTTTTAAATAATCAAAATTTACCACTGTGTTGTCACTGGCTTCTATTGGTAACATGCAGCTTGCTTGGTAACATGCAGCTTACGTTATAACATGCAGCTTGCTTGGTAACATACAGCTTACGTGGTAACATGCAGCTTGCTTGGTAACATGCAGCTTACGTTGTAACATGCAGCTTGCTTGGTAACATACAGCTTACGTGGTAACATGCAGCTTGCTTGGTAACATGCAGCTTGCTTGGTAACATGCAGCTTACGTTGTAACATGCAGCTTGCTTGGTAACATGCAGCTTACGTTGTAACATGCAGCTTGCTTGGTAACATGCAGCTTGCTTGGTAACATGCAGCTTACGTTGTAACATGCAGGTTGCTTGGTAACATTCAGCTTGCTTGGTAACATGCAGCTTACGTGGTAACATGCAGCTTGCTTGGTAACATGCAGCTTGCTTGGTAACATACAGCTTACGTGGTAACATGCAGCTTGCTTGGTAACATTCAGCTTGCTTGGTAACATGCAGCTTACGTGGTAACATGCAGCTTGCTTGGTAACATGCAGCTTACGTTGTAACATGCAGCTTGCTTGGTAACATGCAGCTTGCTTGGTAACATGCAGCTTACGTTGTAACATGCAGCTTGCGTGGTAACATGCAGCTTGCTTGGTAACATGCAGCTTGCTTGGTAACATGCAGCTTGCTTGGTAACATGCAGCTTGCTTGGTAACATACAGCTTACGTGGTAACATGCAGCTTGCTTGGTAACATGCAGCTTGCTTGGTAACATGCAGCTTGCTTGGTAACATTCAGCTTGCTTGGTAACATGCAGCTTGCTTGGTAACATTCAGCTTGCTTGGTAACATGCAGCTTACGTTGTAACATGCAGCTTGCTTGGTAACATGCAGCTTGCTTGGTAACATTCAGCTTGCTTGGTAACATGCAGCTTACGTTGTAACATGCAGCTTGCTTGGTAACATGCAGCTTGCTTGGTAACATGCAGCTTGCTTGGTAACATGCAGCTTGCTTGGTAACATGCAGCTTCCTTGGTAACATGCAGCTTGCTTGGTAACATGCAGCTTGCTTGGTAACATGCAGCTTGCTTGGTAACATGCAGCTTGCTTGGTAACATGCAGCTTGCTTGGTAACATGCAGCTTGCTTGGTAACATGCAGCTTGCTTGGTAACATGCAGCTTGCTTGGTAGCATGCAGCTTGCTTGGTAACATTCAGCTTGCTTGGTAACATACAGCTTACGTGGTAACATGCAGCTTGCTTGGCAACATGCAGCTTGCTTGGTAACATGCAGCTTGCTTGGTAACATTCAGCTTGCTTGGTAACATGCAGCTTACTTGGTAACATGCAGCTTAAGTGGTAACATGCAGCTTGCTTGGTAACATGCAGCTTGCGTGGTAACATGCAACTTGCTTGGTAACATGCAGATTGCTTGGTAACATGCAGATTGCTTGGTAACATGCAGCTTGCTTGGTAACATGCAGCTTAAGTGGTAACATGCAGCTTAAGTGGTAACATGCAGCTTAAGTGGTAACATGCAGATTGCTTGGTAACATGCAGATTGCTTGGTAACATACAGCTTGCTTGGTAACATGCAGCTTGCTTGGTAACATGCAGCTTGCTTGGTAACATGCAGCTTGCTTGGTAACATGCAGCTTAAGTGGTAACATGCAGCTTGCTTGGTAACATGCAGCTTAAGTGGTAACATGCAGATTGCTTGGTAACATGCAGATTGCTTGGTAACATACAGCTTGCTTGGTAACATGCAGCTTGCTTGGTAACATGCAGCTTGCTTGGTAACATGCAGCTTGCTTGGTAACATGCAGCTTGCTTGGTAACATGCAGCTTAAGTGGTAACATGCAGCTTGCTTGGTAACATGCAGCTTAAGTGGTAACATGCAGATTGCTTGGTAACATGCAGCTTGCTTGGTAACATGCAGCTTAAGTGGTAACATGCAGATTGCTTGGTAACATGCAGCTTGCTTGGTAACATGCAGCTTAAGTGGTAACATGCAGATTGCTTGGTAACATGCAGATTGCTTGGTAACATACAGCTTGCTTGGTAACATGCAGATTGCTTGGTAACATGCAGCTTGCTTGGTAACATGCAGCTTGCTTGGTAACATGCTTCTTGCAATCTCTCATTCGTTGACATGGGGTAGGTTATAAAATCATTGGTGCCTCCATGAGTCTTAGTCTCCACAACTGAAGTACCTGTGTCGATCCTAGTTGTCTGTCTGTTTAATTTTTAAATCCCTCTGTTAATAGTAGATTAATATTAGTCCTTGTTTTCTGTGCAGCTTTTTTGAGGATGATTGTTGTGACTGTTGTCTTTTTCTCCTGTTTTTTATTGAGGATGGAGAGGGTGAAATTTAAATGACTGATGTCTGAAGTTCACCAGTTGTGTCTTTTATGTTGTCACTGAACTAAGATATATTCAGGCTTCTTAACTCGTAAAACGCCACTATTTCTTTACTATTATTACCACACCTCTTATGGTATCTTCTTACTATTTCTTTAAGCTATGATATCGTTGTGTTTCCTTTACTCTGCCCTTTCGTTCATTTATATCGTTCATGATTCCATCAGTATTCATGAACCACACTGATCCTCGTCATTCACGTTGTGTTAAGCTGTGGATTTTGTCTCAGTGTCTGATTGTGTGTGTTTGTGTGTACATAAGTAAGCAGTTTGGCTGGAGTGTTCTTCGTTGTCTACCATTTTCACCAGTATCATTAAATCCTCCGTTTGAACTCATCGTATTGTTTTGAGTGAAAATACATTACTGAATTAATTTAAATTACCAATTTATATTAAAATTTTGTATGTTGAGTAAAATATGAAAGAGTAATATTTATTACGGCACCTGGATGTTACATGAACCAGGATGTCTTATTATTGTCATCACTTTTCCTTACCTCATTCAATTTCATTAATATATTTTAACTCAAATAATTATTTTTTTACCATCTAGTTAATATTAAGGGCATGAATTGTAGTGGTGCTTATTCCGCAATGGATATTTTTTCCGGGTATTTTTTTTTTATTTTAGCTTTTGAAATGTAAGATAATAAGGAATGAGAGTTATGGTGCACGAGTAGTGTGAGGGCGGTGCCTCTCCGGCGTCTCTCAACTGATGGTCGGTCGGCTGTTTCAGGCGGAGGGCTCGGCCTGCAGGCGGCGGTAGGCAGTGGCCAGTATAGTGTTGGGTCGTCAGTGTGTCGCCTGCCCACCAACCCACCACCCTCCGCCCACGCTGACTATGGTGGGTCTCCCCTCGCCGCCCCTGGCCAGCCCCCTCCCCTGGTCAGCCTGGAGCCTGTGTCGCCACAAGTGAGCTACGGTAGCGACGTGTCTGCCGCCTCGACGCCCCTCACCAGCCTGGCCTACACTCCGCCTGGGTCCCGCACCCGCCCTCCCACAGGGGAGGAGGTGGTGTGTGGCGTGTGCGGCAAGGTGTTGTGCAACAAGTACGTACTCAAGACACACCTGCGGGACATGCATGGTCCCCGCCAAAGTCACCAATGTCCCGTCTGTCACCGCATGTACGCCTCGCTCAACTCTCTCCGGGCGCACATGAGCGGCACCCACAAGAAGCCTCACCTCCATCAACAGCAGCAAACACAGCCACAACCAACACAACCACAGTCATCACAACCACAACAATCACAACCACAATCACAACCACAGCGGTACTAGGTGCCCCGACACTCCGTGTCATAACATCTCCCGCCAGCACTACCTGTCACATTCATCTTGCCATGCACGTGCTGTTGAAGGTGTATGGTGCACCTACACTTGGCACCCACCGTAAATATATTGTTTGGTAGAGTCACGTGTGCACCTTCTAGCAGGACACAAAGTGTTTCATGCTCACCATAGTAACAAGCAAGGGTGTGCCTCGTCTCGCCAGATACTCTTCAAAAACATTAATGTCAGTTCATGATTCATATCCCAAATATAATGAGGGAAGTATAGTAGTAGCTGATCTATAACAGTGCACATAATCTTCATTAGTAACTAGCTGAGCAAATCACAGAAGGGGTGGGGGCTCGAACTCATGGCAGGTGAGCCCTAAAACTCACAGGCCGGTGCAAATAACTACAGCAGATTACAGTCAAAAACATGTAAACAAATGAAAGTTCCTTAATTTGTACATGTTCCTGTTGTAGCTTTTTATACGTGAGCAGAGTAGAGCGTGACGCAGTACTGGTCACCTGCTGTTAGTGTGAATGAGAGGGCAACATGACCGAGAGATCCGACAAGTACATGAATAAGACACCTGTGCAACACTTGAGTCTGTATTATGATGACGTTTCACCAAAGCTTTATCAAATCAACATAGAGAATCAGTGGGAGACTTGAAGAGATCATTTGATGTGGTTAGTTTCCTACCCTTGATAAATCTGAAACAGATGCACGAGGTTAAAGTGTAGCACATGTGCCTCATTCATGAGAGAGAGAGCAAAGTGCTCTACCACAAACTATTTTACTGATGAGTAGCCTCGTGCCGTCAAGAAACCGACTGTTACAGTCTTCAAGATGCTTTTAATGAATTCATGGGCAGGTCTACACACAAGACTCGCGTGAGGTGTGTCACTGACCACTAACAACAGGGCAGAAAACCTACCACGGCACCACCCACTTAGTGGATTTGTGTGGGGCTGCTGGTGCAGGATGGATTTACCACAATATTACCACCACCACCAGGTGTGTAGTGTTGCCTCCATAACACCACCAGGTGTGTGTGGTGTTGCCTCCATAACACCACCAGGTGTGTGTGGTGTTGCCTACATAGCACCACCAGGTGTGTAGTGTTGCCTCCATAACACCAGGTGTGTAGTGTTGCCTCCATAACACCACCAGGTGTGTGGTGTTGCCGTCTGGATGATTTACCACAACCACAACCAGATGTGTGGTGTTGGTTCTTGGTTGACTTGCTATACTACCACCACCCGATGTGTATGATGGCAGTGCCAGAGTGATACACCACACTACCACAAGGTGTGGTGCTAATGGTGTGAATAACGTGGTCACCAGTACCCTCCAGCCTTCATCACACTACCACCATCTGGTGTGGTGGTGGTGCTAGCACCGTGGTCATCAGCGCCACCTGCCAGCCTTCATCACACTACCACCATCTGGTGTGGTGGTGGTACTAGCACCATGGTCAGCAGCACCACCTGCCAGCCTTCATCACACTAGCACCATGGTCATCAGCACCACCTACCAGCCTTCATCACACTACCACCGTTTGGTGTGGTGGTGCTAGCACCATGGTCAGCAGCACCACCTGCCAGCCTTCATCACACTACCACTGGTGTGGTGGTGGTGCTAGCACCGTGGTCATCAGCACCACCTGCCAGCCTTCATCACACTACCACCATCTGGTGTGGTGGTGGTGCTAGTACCATGGTCATCAGCACCACCTGCCAGCCTTCATCACACTACCACTGTCTAGTGTGGTGGTGGTGGTAGCACCATGGTCATCAGCACCACCTGCCAGCCTTCATCATACTACCACCATCTGGTGTGGTGATGGTGCTAGTACCATGGTCATCAGCACCACTAGCCAGCCTTCATCACACTACCACCACCAAGTGTGGTGGTGGTGCTAGTACCATGGTCCCAAGCACCACCTGCCAGCCTTCATCACACTACCACCACTTAGTGCGGTGGTGGTGCTAGCACTATGGTCATCAGCACCACCTGCCAGCTTTCATCACACTACCATCTGGTGTGGTGGTGGTGCTAGCACCATGGTCAGCAGCACCACCTGCCAGCCTTCATCACACTACCACCATCTGGTGTGGTGGTGGTGCTAGAACCATGGTCATCAGCACCACCTGCCAGCCTTTGTCACACCATCATCTGGTTTGGTGGTGGTGCTAGCACCATGGTCATCAGCACCACCTGCCAGCCTTCATCACACTACCACCATCTGGTGTGGTTGTGGTGTTAGCACCATGGTCATCAGCACCACCTGCCAGCCTTCATCACACTACCACCATCTGGTGTGGTGGTGGTGCTAGCACCATGGTCATCAGCACCACCTGCCAGCCTTCATCACACTACCATCTGGTGTGGCGGTGGTGCTAGCACCATGGTCATCAGCACCACCTGCCAGCCTTCATCACACTACCATCTGGTGGTGGTGGTGCTAGCACCATGGTCATCAGCACCACCTGCCAGCCTTCATCACATTACCATCTGGTGTGGTGGTGGTGCTAGCACCATGGTCATCAGCACCACCTGCCAGCCTTCATCACACTACCATCTGGTGTAGTGGTGGTGCTAGCACCATGGTCATCAGCACCACCTGGCAGCCTTCATCACACTACCACCATCTGTGTGGTGTGGTGCTAGCACCATGGTCATCAGCACCACCTGCCAGCCTTCATCACACTACCACCATCTGGTGTGGTAGTGGTGCTAGCACCATGGTCAGCAGGACCACCTGCCAGCCTTCATCACACTACCACCATCTGGTGTGGTGGTGGTGCTACCACCATGGTCAGCAGCACCACCTGCCAGTCTTCATCACACTACCACTGTCTGGTGTGGTGGTGCTAGCACCATGGTCAGCAGCACCACCTGCCAGCCTTCACACTACCACTGTCTGATGTGGTGGTGGTTCTAGCACCATGGTCATCAGCGCCACCTGCCAGCCTTCATCACACTACCACCATCTGGTGTGGTGGTGGTGCTAGCACCATGGTCATCAGCACCACCTGCCAGCCTTCATCACACTACCATCTGGTGTGGTGGTGCTAGCACCATGGTCATCAGCACCACCTGCCAGCCTTCATCATACTACCATCTGGTGTGGTGGTGGTGCTAGCACCATGGTCATCAGCACCACCTGCCAGCCTTCATCACACTACCATCTGGTGTGGTGGTGGTGCTAGCACCATGGTCATCAGCACCACCTGCCAGCCTTCATCACACTACCACTGGTGTGGTGATGGTGCTAGTACCATGGTCATCAGCACCACCTGCCAGCCTTCATCACACTACCACTGTCTGGTGTGGTGGTGGTGCTAGCACCATGGTCATCAGCACCACCTGCCAGCCTTCATCACACTACCACTGGTGTGGTGATGGTGCTAGTACCATGGTCATCAGCACCACCTGCCAGCCTTCATCACACTACCACTGTCTGGTGTGGTGGTGGTGCTAGCACCATGGTCATCAGCACCACCTGCCAGCCTTCATCACACTACCACTGGTGTGGTGGTGGTGCTAGTACCATGGTCATCAGCACCACCTGCCAGCCTTCATCACACTACCACTGTCTGGTGTGGTGGTGGTGCTAGCACCATGGTCAGCAGCACCACCTGCCAGCCTTCATCACACTACCACTGGTGTGGTGATGGTGCTAGTACCATGGTCATCAGCACCACCTGCCAGCCTTCATCACACTACCACTGTCTGGTGTGGTGGTGTGCTAGCACCATGGTCATGCAGCAACCACCTGCCAGCCTTCATCACACTACCACCATCTGGTGTGGTGTGGTGCTAGCACCATGGTCATCAGCACCACCTGCCAGCCTTCATCACACTACCACCACCATCTGGTGTGGCGGTGGTGCTAGCACCATGGTCATCAGCACCACCTGCCAGCCTTCATCACACTACCACCATCTGGTGTGGTGGTGGTGCTAGCACCATGGTCATCAGCACCACCTGCCAGCCTTCATCACACTACCACCATCTGGTGTGGTGGTGGTGCTAGCACCATGGTCATCAGCACCACCTGCCAGCCTTCCTTAATGTTCCTGAAATCATCCCCCATCATCCTAGTCCTTAATTAATGTTATTGTCTTAGCATTTAAATTTCCTAAAAAATCAATGTTTATAAAAGTTGATGAATATATATATATATATATATATATAATATATATATATATATATAATTATATTATATAAATATATATATATAATATATATGGCGGTGTTAATGTAGCAGCACCGTGTGGAGCACCACTAGTGGCGGTGTTAGTGGAGCACTGCCGTGTGGAGTACCACTAGTGGCGGTGTTAGTGTAGCACCGCCGTGTGGAGTACTACTAGTGGCGGTGTTGGTGTAGCACCGCCGTGTGGAGTACTACTAGTGGCGGTGTTAGTGTAGCACCGCCGTGTGGAGTATTACTAGTGGCGGTGTTGGTGTAGCACCGCCGTGTGGAGTACTACTAGTGGCGGTGTTAGTGTAGCACCTCCGTGTGGAGTACTACTAATGGCGGTGTTGGTGTAGCACCGCCGTGTGGAGTACTGCTAGTCGCGGTGTTAGTGTAGCACCGCTGTGTGGAGTACTACTAGTGGCGGTGTTAGTGTAGCACCTCCGTGTGGAGTACTAGTAGCGGTGTTAGTGTAGCACCGCCGTGTGGAGTACTACTAGTGGCGGTGTTAGTGTAGCACCTCCGTGTGGAGTACTACTAGTGGCGGTGTTAGTGTAGCACCGCTGTGTGGAGTACTACTAGTGGCGGTGTTGGTGTAGCACCGCCGTGTGGAGTACTTCAAGTGGGACCGTGTGGAGCACCACAAAGGTAGTGCTCCGTGCATCTGGGTTTGTCTTACCGCCGCAATGTTAGCTGATCATCAACCTTCATATTATTTGCCCAGTTGTGTCTGTCTTGTAGTATTGTGCTAAGTGCCAAATCAACTGTAGATTATTTTATATTGAAATAAAAGTACGTAATATCACCAATATCATTATCCATTACTATCTAGTAAGAGAGTTTATGGTTAGATTACTGTAGTGACGTTGGCAGTATAGATGTTGCTTAGTGGTGAGGAAGGGAAGTGGTGGAGGCGTCTTAGTGGCTGTGCCCGCCACAATAATGTGTGATCCCTGGTGAGTGTGTGGGGATGGGGGAGGTGCGCTGGGGTGAGGCAAGGCACACTAACACTGGGGGATGGTGGTGACCGCCGCCCGCACTCTAAGGTGTGTGTTTTGCTGTTTCAGGTGGGCGGCGGTCACTGCTGCACACGGCGTGCGTCTGTCCGTACTGCAACAAGGTGATCAGTAACAAGTATAACCTCAAGACGCACATACTGGACAAGCACACAGTGCAGACGGAACGATTTCCTTGTGAATTGTGTGGGCGCATCTACTCCACCAAGCACTCCCTGGCCACCCACACCTCTACCGTGCACCGCGGTGACCGTGCCGCCCACCATCACCACCACCACCATCACCACCACTCCCGAACCGCCCCCACTACCCACCCGTCACCCGCCACCCACCTCCCGGTGCACGCTGACACTAGACAACAACAGCAGCAGCAATCACTGGGCGTGTCTCAACCACTAGCAACTGACCCCCAGGTATCTGTGGGGTCAGTGAGCGGCGGTGGGGGTCCTGTACCAGTGATGACCTCAGCAGGGAGCCAGGGACCCTCCCTGGCAGAAGTGGCATCTCAGTTGCCCCCGGTGTCCCTGGAAGGTGGCCCCACACACGAGCAGATCCAGGCCATGGCTCAAAGTTTGGCTCAGTCTCTGCCATCTTTCCAGTCCTTCCCCGGCCTGGAGTGATGCTCTCGTTGACCCACACTACTCATGCATCATTAGTGACTTGTGATAATGGTGTGCAACATTAAGCAACCACTCCAGCCTATCACAATATATATATATATATATATATATATATATATATATATATATATATATATATATATATATATATATATATATATATATATATATATATATTGCCGTGCCGAATAGGCAGAACTTGCCATCTTGGCTTAAATAGCAACGCTCATCTTGCCATATAGGACAAGTGAAAATTTGTGTATGCAGTAATTTCGCCAAAATCATTCTGAACCTAACGAAAAAAATATATTTCACTGCGTTTGTTTAGTATTAAATTATTGTAAACAAATCTAAAATATATTTAGTTGGGTTAGGCTAAAATAAATTGTTTTTTATTATAATAAGGTTAGGTAAGTTTTCTAAGATTCTTTTGGAGCAAAATTAAAATTTTTACATTATGATTAATGATAAAAATATATCTTTAAACGTATAAGAAATTTTTTAGAAAGAACTTAATTTTATATGAGTTCTTGCTAATTGTCCAGTTTTACATATTCGGCACGACATATATTATAATATATATATATATATATATATATATATATATATATATATATATATATATATATATATATATATATATATATATATATATATATATATTATATATAACAAACCCCTCGCAATCATCACATAGAGGCGAGGACACACACACGTCACACAGGCAAACACAATAATTACTGGTGACAGCGAGGTATCTGGCAACCATTCCCACTGTCAGTGTGCATAATTCGTCATCTTGTCACTCAAGTTGTAGGAGGTAACATAGCAGAGCTCAGCCTCTCACCACCTCCACCACTGCTGCTCCTGCAGTTAATTCATTCTCAACACATCTTCCAGGACATGTTCTCACCCACTTAATTTTGTATGGCCACTTTCATTATAATTTTGATTATGGCTAGGGCGCCATCACTCGTCTTTATTTTGTGTTGGCTGGTGAGGTAGCCAGGTGGTGGTAACACGTGACCCAGGGGGTGGTGACACCTGACCCAGGTAGTTAGTGAGGTAGCCAAGTAGTGATGACACGACTCAGGTGGCTGGTGAGGTAGCCAGGTGGTGATGAGGCGTGACCCAGGTGGCTGGTAAAGTAGCCAGATGGTGGTGAAACATGACCGAGGTGGCTGGTGAGGTAGCCAGGTGGTGGTGAGGTAGCCAGGTGGTGGTGACACGTGACCCAGGTGCCTGGTGAGGTAACCAGGTGGTAGTGACACGTGACGCAGGTGGTTAATGAGGTAGCAAGGTGGTGGTGACACGTGACCCAGATGGCTAGTGAGGTAGCCAGGTGGTAGTGACCCAGATGGCTAGTGAGGTAGCCAGGTGGTAGTGACCTAGGTGACTAATAAAGTAGCCAAGTGTTGATGGCACGTGATCCAGGTGGATGGTGACTAGGTATTGGTGACACGTGACCCATGTGGCTAGTGAACTAGCCAGGTGGTGATGACACACGTGACCCAGCTGGCTCTTCATGAGAATCTCTTCCTCTTATCCTAATCAAATATAGATGCCGCCATAGCAAAATCTTTTTGACAAGTAGTTATAGTAGTTAATACTCTCCCCGGTCTCCCCCCTCCCCCTCCCCCCCTCTCTCTCGTGTGGTAAAAGGCAGGAGTGGACGTGTGAGTCAGACCTTAATTGTCATAACACTCGGTTAAACATCACTCTGGTAATGTCTTAACTGGCTCGTTGAAACACACACACACACACACACACACGCACACACACACACACACACACACACACACACACACACACACACACACACACACACACACACACACACACACACGTACACACACACACACGTACACACACACACACGTACACACACACACACGTACACACACACGTACACACACACGTACACACACGTACACACACGTACACATACACACACGTACACATACACACACGTACATACGTACACACACGTACACACGCACACGCGCGCACACGCACATGCACACACGCACATGCACACACGCTCGCTCTCTCTCGCGCGCACACACGCACATGCACACACGCTCGCTCTCTCGCGCGCGCACACACACACACACACACACACACACACACACACACACACACACACAGGTGGGACAGAAAATGATATCGAAAACTTCTGGAAATTTTATTATGGCACAGACTATTGGGAAATGTTATGGTATAAAAAAAGGTTGTTGTTATTAACGAGGACTGGGAGCGCGTCACGCCCTCGCCTAACACTGTCCACCCGGATTTTCCAACATTCCTACATTATGTAATCTCCTCCCTTCCTCCCTCAAAACTGCGGATAACCTTTTCGTGGGGTGGGAGGTGGACATTGCTTGAGTAATAGTTGTCTCCTAAGCACAGTCCATGGATGAAGAGCCTGTCAGTTTCTCTGATATAAATGTGAGGCTGAGTTCAGGCGCCATTGCGGCAGTATGGGATGTATCAACTCCGAGTTTGTCTGAAGTGAGCCTAGAGATGGTCGAGGAGCCGAGGTACTCTTGCATCTTTCTGCGTCTTTCGTTGTTCTAGGAAATTTAACTGCGATATTATAATTGATCATGAACGAGTTTAGGAGCGGTTTTCATGATACTGGAATTGCTCTTGTAGAGGAAAAGATGACACAGGAATCTAAAAAAGCTGCTAGACAAGCTGCTCTTACTACCTCTCACCTCCACACCCCTATTTTATTTTTCTCATCATCCTTATAAGCAAAAATGGATGAGTCTAGCTCGCTGAAGCTTCCAGTGTCAAAAGTGACCGTGAAATTGCACTGAGGTAGCTTATTGCTATGACTGAATCGCAG